TTAGCACTTTTCTTAATTGGAATTATATTGTATATTTTGGAGTATAGGTTTACTTATTTTAATCAGCAAATCCTGTAAATGTCCAGATCAGGATAAACTGTAGTGATTTTAATTTAAAGTCAGGGAAAAAGGTAATTTCCTCTCAAAAATGTTAACAATATGAAACTTTGTTTGTAACCTTGATTCCCTTAATGTATTTACTTGCACTATAATGTCCAAATAAAGTTCTCTCCAGGCAGGTTTTTGTTGTTCTCTCAGTTTAATGCTTCTAAATATTTGTTTGTATTTGTATTATTTTTATGGATGAGGACTCGATATACTGCTTTTTCCTGTCTTGGTTCCTAAGACATTGCTTGAATTCCATGATATATACCCAGTTGATAAACACGTTAATAAATAGAAATCTGTCTTTCTGCAGGATTTGTCAGCCTCCTTAGAAGCAGTGTATGGACAGACCAAGGAAGGGATATTCTGTGAAGAAGTACTTAAGAAATTTTATGAATGGAAATGTGGTAAACTAGAGGAGTTCACCAGTGTTAGAAGTGAAACTCAGGTTTCTTTACAGCGCCTTGTAGCATGGTTCCATACCACCACAAAGGTAACAACAGCTCCTGGTTGTGTTTGTAGTTTAAACCACAGACTGCGTTCTTTTTAGCTTTCCACTGTCACTTAATTCTTTTCTTTGAGCGGAGAAAGAAGGGAAACAGGAAGGGAGGTGGGAGGGAGTGTGTGTATGAGATCAGATACAAGAGAAAAGGATTTCCATTTTCTGTTTAGGACATATATGAAAACAACCTTAACGAGGCTGTGTTACATGATACCACAGTGGTTATCAGCAGTATACTGTCAGTATACTGTGTATTTTACAGGTTAAGTGTTAAGAGTATGTGTACATATGTATGCCTTATAGCATAGTGAAGTTTTTGTCTTTATTTTTGTGCTCCCTTTAAAGCAATATACATATTTTAGTATTTGTCTAACTAGTCATGCTTCAAATTGTATTTTAATTCTTTAACAGTGTATGAGTCTTTTATAGTATTTTTTTAAAAGATTTTTTGGGGGCTCTTACAACTCTTTAATACTTATTTATTATTACTAAATCATTTTATTGGGGGATCTTATAACTCATAACAATCCATACATCAATTGTATCAAACACATTTGTACATATGTTGCCATCATCATTTTCAGAACATTTTCTGCTTGAGCCCTTGGTATCAGCTCTTTTTCCCTCCTTCCCCTACCTTCCCACCCTCGTGAACCCTTGATAAAATATAAATTAGTATTTTCACATCTTACACTGACCGCTGTCTCCCTTCAAGCATGTTTCTGTTTTTTTTTGTCCCCCTTAGCAGTATATGTTAATGTGCTGATCCTTGCAATTGGTTCCCCCTTCCTCTCCTCTCCCCCACTACGTTCCCCCTACCCTCCCATTTCTGTTTCTGCTACTCCCATTTCAGTACCTGAGGGCTTTATCTGACCTGGAATCCGAGTGGCATGAGCTCTTATCTGTACCATTGTACATGCTCCAGTTTAGCCAGAACTGAAAGCCAGGATTGGTGTTAGGATAGTGGGGGTGATGAAGCCTCAAAGAACCAAGGAATACTGTGTGTATCATAGGTGCTATACTATATCCTGGTTGACTCATCCCTGCCTTGTGACCCTTCTGGGAGGGGATGTCTATAGATGGGATTTGGGTTTCTGCTCCAATTCTCCTCATTCTCAACAATATGCTCTTTTTTTGGTGTGTGGTGTGTGTGGGGTGTCTTCTGATGCCTGTTACCTAATCCCGTTGACACCTCTTGATCACACAGGCTGGTGTACTTCTTCCGTGTGAGCTTGTTGCTTGTTGCTTCTCTGCTAGATGGCTGCTTGTTTAACTTCAAGTGTTTAAGACCCCAGACACTTTATCTTTTGATAGCCAGGCATCATCAGCTTTCTTCACCACACTTGTTTATGCACACATTTGTCTTCAGCAATCGTGTCTGGAGGGTGAGCATCACAGAATGCCAGGTTATTAGAACAAAGTTCTTGTGTTGAGGGAGGGCTTGAGCAGTTGTCCAAAGTCCATCCACCTCAATGTATTGCCATATAAATATATGTACATAGGCCAATACCTCTATTTTTATGAATTAATATATTTACACATGTACACACCTATGTTTATACCTCTATCCACAGCTTTCCTTCCTGGATCTTCCTCTGGTTCCTTTTACCTTCCTCCTGCCCCACCATCACGCTCGCCCTTCTTCTGCCTCTTAGTAATTCCTCTCAGCTTGATTGCTGTTGCTCCAAGAGCATCAGGATCTCTACATTCTCCTCATTGTTGATTTTAAGTCCCCAGTTGTTCCCATTTCTATGGCCTTGTTTGCTCACCGCTCACTTCTCCCACTTCCTCCCCTAACAAGTCCTTCCGGAACCATTGATCCTGTTGCTTTCTCCTGGGGCTTGCTTCCCAGGTGTATCTTATATAGGTAGGCAAAACAACAATAATGGAGACAAACAAAAGAAATAAAAAATTTAAAAAACCTGGCAAAACAATGAAAAAGCATAGAATTCCAGGTATGTCCGCTGACCTTTCTATCTCCCCACCAGTCCTGGGGAGTTCAAGAACTGCCCCTCCTAGCCTGAGGTCTATTTTGGGGGCTCCTCAGGGGCTTTGTGACATTGCTGTGCTGCCATTGCTGATCTGTTATGTTCCCGTCTTGGTTCACTCCACTGTGGGGTGGGGAGGTCAGGCTGGACTCACTCCCTGCAGTGTGTCCCCAGTATTGTCCTCTGTCTCGGTATGCTCCAGCAAGGGGACATCATGTCTTGAGCTGTTGTGGGCCATACAGTCCTCTCTGTGTCTTAGCAGCTCTGTGCAGGGATGTCGTCCTCAGGGTTTGGTGTGCTAGTATGGGGTCTAGGCTCTCCCTCTCTTTCCTTCCTGGTTTGTTTCCCTGTGGGCGCAGCAGGCCAGCCCCTCTCCACAACTTTAGGTTTAGTGTTGTCCTCTGTCGCACATGCTTCTAGGGAGGGGTCAGTTAGGTTCTGATTGGGGTTGGCCCTGTAGCCCTCTCTGTTCTTGAGTTACTCCGTGTGGTTATGCTGCCGTTGAGGTTTGGCATGCCGTGGTGGGGTC